TCCCACCGCCACCACCCCCGCCCCGCCTCTCCTCTCTCCTCCGGTCCCTCCCCTCCGTACTCCTCTGCTCGCTCAGCTGCCACGTTCCGGGATTACATAATCCAAGGCGAGAAGCCGGAGCCCGTACCCAGCGGGGATGGGGCCGGGGTGGAGGGGCCAGGGTTTGGTGCGCGCACGTCCGGCCCTTCTCCCCGAGCCCGCCTCGCTTTCCTCCGGGAGAGGGCAATCCCGGGTCTCCGTTCGTGGGACCGCCCCAGACCCAGTGATCCCACAGCGCAGGACACTTCCCATCCCCGCTCTGAGGGCCCCTTTGATCCCTCACGCCAGGGTCGCCTCTCCCGAAGGAAGGAAACGTGTCCACTGTGCGCCTCTGATCGGTGGTTTGCCCATGCAAGGAGCCCGCCGTCCCCCAGCAAGAAGCAACGCCCAGTGGTGGCCAGGAATCCTCCGGAGTGCGAGGGTCCCTGCGCGATTTTTTTTTGCAGGGTCGATATTTGTGTAAACAATTTGGATCACCCCAAATCGGCACTGTCAGAACCATTCTGGCTGGACAGTCTCACCGGGCCATGCTCCTGGAACTGAGATCCACCACCAGCAAGAACCTCATAGACGCGGGTCCTAGAGCTCCTCAAGGCATGTGGTCCACCCAGGCCCTGTGGGCAGACAGCCCCTTTCAGGGGGTGTAACTTGTACAGGGCCCACGCGGGTTTTACTCCTGCATGAGGGGGCTTAGAAAATCTCAAGGACAGCGCACCAAAGCTGAGGGTCCCTGAAACTTGGGGCCAGGTCAGCGGCAAAAAGACAGTACTGCAGGCTGAGGCTTGTCAGGAGTGGGAGGCCAGAACAGGCTCCACTGGAGCTAGAAGCAGGTCTGAACAGGGCTGGAGGGCTGCTCAGTCTCCAGCCAAAGTCCAATCTGGCCACAACCAAGGCTGTTGACCCCTCAGAGAGGTATGATGGGGTCAAGGAGGCACCCATCTAGGACATCTCAGCCTCCTAAGGCTTCCCACCCCTTCTAAGCCATTCCCAAAAAACAGCCAAATTGTGTCAAGTTCCTCTTGACTTCAGCCCCAGTGGGCTCACCTTCAAGACCCATCATGACAAGGTTCTTCCCCATACACACCTTCCCCACCTCTTCTCCTTGTGCTCTCCTCCTGGCTCATCTCCCTCCAGACACACTGGCACTGGCATTCTAGCTATTCCTCCAATGCACCAGCCCCACCAGCCTCAGGGCCTTTGCACTGGTTCACCAAGTTTGCATCCTCATCATGCAGGCTGCCTTCCAATGTCACCTGCTCCCAAAGGCCTTCACTGACCATTCTAAGAAAAGTAAGCCCATCCTCTACACACACTCTACCTCTCACTCTATTTCATTATTATCTCTAAGGCACTCAACACTGCTTGAGATTATGTTTTATCTGTTATTTGTTCACTGTCTGGGTAACCACCCCCCAACCCCAGCAGGAGGTAAGCAACCCTCCAGAAGAGGCTTTTGCACCCAAATGTTCACAGTTGCACGTCAGGGTCCTTAGTCAGAGCTCAGAAAGTATGTGCACAATATACTCAGGGTTAGAGGGGACCAAGCAGGGCTGGAGGAAAGCTGACCCTCCACAACAGCGGCCACATTTTTCAAGAGAGGAAATAGCAGGCCACATACTGGGAGATCCACCCTTAAAGGGACTAGTGGGACAGGGCATGCTGATCACCCCCCTCCAGTCCCTCAGAGACTCGGATCTGTGGGATGATCAAACCTCTTGTGTCCCCTGCACCCCCTAATCCTTCTCCCCACCCCTATCCCCTTGCCTCTCTGCCCTGCTGCAACATTTAGGGCCCCTTCCTGCCCCTCTGCACCTTCCCACCTTTTATAATTTCATGTGCTCATACCCTCAGGTCCTTCGGCACTCCCAGCCCAGCTGCTACCTCAGGCTCTTACCACTTGGTTACCTGAGGCTGGAAAGGTGCCAAGCCAGGAAGCAGGTTCTGGAAGGAGCAGCTCTGTGGATGCAGTGGGTGGCAGGTTTGCACCTAGGCAATGCACAGCCAGACCTCTAGCCCAAGGAGCCAGCTGGAGGATTTTTCATGGCCTCACAAGAGAGAGAATATGTTGCAAAGCACAATTTTTTGAGCAGGACTGAACCATACTGGGTGGAGACACCTTCCCCCAAAGGATTTCAGCTTAAGGGATGAACTGGGAATCCCCTGCCAGCTTCCCGGTGTGGTTAGGTGGCTGGAAGCGAAGGGGACAGATGACTGTGCCACACCGGCTTTGTTTCACATTGCGCTTCTGTCGTTTATTTTGTTTGGGTATCCTTGGACAGTAATTTCACTTCTTTGAGCCCCAGTTTCCTCATCTTTAAAGTGGGAACAATAGTATCTTCTTCCCAGGGTTGCTGTGATGGTAAAGTGAGATAATATGTGATTCCAGGGGAGCCCTTAAATTAACCACATGAATAAAGGTGGAGAAAACAGTTTAAAAGAGTCCTTTTGCTCCCACATACATGATGGAATAAACAGTATCAGGAAAAGAAAGTAAGCTATGTGTCTGGCTGCACAAATAGAGCAATAGTGGAATATCCTGCCTCCTAATCTCTTGTGCCTGGTGCTGAGCAGGACTCACTCCCTAGTAGGTGCTGTCCCTATGAGCAGGTGAGCATTGATGGTGACTCCCCTGGCACCTAGATGCACAGGGAGGAACCTCTTGACACACCCATCCTCCCCTCACCACCACCTCCCCAAGCTGTCTTTCTTGGTACATCAGTGTCTTTGAGAGCCTTGCTCCTCAAAGTGTGGCCCAGAACCAACAGCACATGTCCCAGGGGAGCTTGTTAGAAATGAGGAATTCGGCCCCAGACCTACTGAATCAGAATCTGCATTTTAACAAGATCCCAGAGGATTCAACCCCAGGAGACTCATGTGCACATTAAAGGCTGAGAAGCACTAGATGGAGATTTAGAGCACCTCCATCCAAAATGCATGAGATTCATGACTTTCAAGTTTGCTGGTGTTTGATGCTGTCACTGGAAATTTTACCTCAAGCCACAAGAGTACATCCATATAACACCTAAAAATTGGTATTTCATTCATCCTGGAAGAGTATATCCCTGATGTCTGCATATAACCCTATATTGATTTCATTTTTTTAACTTAATCATTTTGATCAAAATACTAGTTTTAAAGGTCAGTCACATTTAGGCTTGTAATAGAAGACTCTTTTCTATGCTTCTCCATTACCAGATTAAACACTTTTAGTTCATTTTGCTATTTCTCCTTGTATCTACCTTTATGCTTCTATTGCTATTTCTTGATGTTTCTATGTTAGATGTTATTTGTGGATTTCCTGCTATGGAATTAAGAATTTTGCTTTCCTACAACCCTACCTCACAACAAACACATACGCAAATACAGAAACATACACTTTTCCTCCCTCCACCCTCCCAAAAGAGCAAAATCACTAGAGTCAATACTTAGTGCTTATAACCACTCAATATTATCGTTCAGCTTTCTGTGTTCCCTGGAGTTGGTAATTACTTTGTTTTATCATCTGCTTGGTTTTCTAGGCACCAGTTGCTAATTTAATCCCAAAACTTCCAACAGAACTGAACATTTATTTTTATGTCTAAAAACAGCAGATAGTCTATCCCATTTTCTTCTGGAAACATCCCTCCTGGAGTATCTATCTTTTAATTCTAGACCAGGTTGCTTCTTTCTTCACCTGGAAGCACAGCTGACACCAGGTCTTTTTCATCATCCTTCTGCTGTGTTTAGCCTCATTTTTTAAATTCCGTATGATCCTCTCTTAGTTTAATTCCTTGTTTTGCTGTAGCACATCCTCCAGTAGCTTCCTGAATGCATGCAAGGTCATATTTCTGAAAACTTGCATGGCTTAAAATGTCTTTATTCTACCTTCACAATTGATAATCATTGGATAAATACACATTTCTAGGTTAGGAATCATTTTCCTTCAGAATTTTGTGGGCATTGCTTTATTGCTCTGGGACAAGCCAGAGCAAGGGCAATCAAAGAATGGTCCCAAGGGCTGGTGGCACCGGGCTGTTAAGCCTGCATCTATCAAAGACGTCAAAGCCACCGGGCTTGAATCTTTGGACAGGGCCCCGTGGAGGCAGATATGCAGCCTAATTCTTGTTCTGGTTCCTCCTTTCCTAAGGGCTGTATGGTCACTACCTCCTCTTCCTCCACCCCTATCAGTTTTCCTTCAAACAATGATACATGGACAAGGATTAAGTTCTCTCAATTGTGATTTATTTCCACTCTTGCCTCTCAAGTCACTAAACAGTTGGGCTGAAACTCTTGTAACTGCCACCCATTTACAGACTAACAGTGGGGATACGCTTTCCAGGTGACCAATCCTTTCATTACATGTACACTTTCCTTAATTTCACTCTCTGAGGGTAACCTGAACATCCAGTTTGGGGATTACTGTTATAGCCCTCTTATATTCACATCCTCCACGGCATTTCTGGAATCCCAGTAAATGGAACACCTCCACAAAACAGCCCCCTTCCACCCCACCCCCACTTAGCAGGTCACATGGGAGACCAGCCCCAGAAGGTCTCAGGCTGCTTCCTAGCAGAGCCTATCTCTGCATTACAGGACTATAGTCCTGAAAAGTCCCCCACCAGGGCCCACAGGCATCACCCTACTCTGAGGGGAGAGAGCTGCGGACAGGAAGATTGAATGGCTTGCCCCTGGATACACAGCTCTGGGAACTCCGGGGGCAAAAAGAAAGCAGTCCTGCCTCCCTTCGTCAGCTGCCCATATAGTGATGGGGTTAGAATGCTTTCCCTGGCAACTCATACCCTCATGGGGGGGGGGGCGCCTAAGGCAGAAAATTAGCAAAGGTAAGAGGGTGAGTTTTAGTTCTCAGACATTGCTGACCTCCGTCTGCCTAAGTCCCACCTAAGCCACCAGTTGCTTATGAGGCCAGAATCAGCAGCAGGGCCCCCCTCCCTATCCCAGGGCCCCACCTGACAACAGTCACGATGTCCCAGCTGCCCAGTCCCAGAATGGCTGACCAGAGTGGGAGGAAGGGAGAGGGTTTCATGGGTAGGTGTGTGGGGAGGGGGAGATTCCCAGGGAGGCCAGTTCCACACTCCCTGGGCTCACCCTTGAGTATCTGCAAGGGCCCCCTGACCCCTCCCACCACCCTAGTCCCTCCCAGCACTACTGGCTTCCTGTAAGCACCTTCTTCTCCACCCCAGCCCTGCTTCCGCGGCTGGAACCCAGGCCCAAAGCCCCTGCTTACCCTATCCCAGTCCTTCCCAGGGCCTTGGGGGCCAGGGATGGGTTGGGTAGTCCAGTGGGTCCGTGTGTATCCCTTGGGGCCCTAGCCTGGCCCCCTTTGGACAGTGTCCTGGGGCTGGGGGCACAGGGGCTGGCAAGTCGGGTAGTCCTTCTTACAGGGGCCTGGCCTAGCTGCTGCTACTGCTACTGGTCAGCTTCCTGGCCTTTGACCTGTTCCACTGGTAAGTGAGTAGCAGGCTGACAGGTAGGCCAATGCAGGCAGGCAGGCAAGTAAATGGTCAACCTTCCGAAGCCCAGCTGTCCCCCTCTTTCTCCACAGGCCCACAGCACATACTTCTCACAGGGAGCCACAGTCAGGGGGCCAGAGAGGGTCCGGGACAGCAGGAGGTTTTGTGCTCCTGCCGCCAGTGGCAGTCACAGCATGACTTGGCCTCCAGGAGGCTCTGCCACTGCTGCTCGTGGGTCTGGAGCTGCTCCCAGGAGCCTGCGGCGTGCCCTTCCTTGGTCCTGCCTGGCCTAGCTTTCTGCCTCCCTACTTGGGCCTGACTGCCCTCCAGAAATACACTGGCCATGCCATTTTCTCAGGCCTCCTTTCCTCCATCCTGGGCTGCCAGGCTGAAGGGTAACCCTTTACCCCCAGCCTGAACCTCAGGGGGCTCCAGCCCTACAATATGGACAGTGGACACCTGGGTCTGAGTCTGAGGGCAGTGACAGAAGGCAAGATAAGGGACAGGGAGCTCAGGGCAGGATGTGGTGGCCATCTCAGGGCCTGCCAGTTGGGGTGGCTGCTCAGGCCTCCTCTGTGGTTCTATGGAAGGAGCATCCAGATTGAAAGGCTTGCAAGAGAACAGAGATTGGGTATCAGCCCACAGGGAAGGGACAGGGCTGCAGAGGGGGTTTCCCATAAATATGAGAACCTACATCTGTGGACTCCGTAGGCTCCTCCGCCAGCCTGGAGGGTCTGTGAAGAGGGGCTGAGGTGAGCCCCACACACTGACTCCTCTCCTGGCTGGACCCTACCCCCACTCGGGTCACAATGGCGCTGGGCAGGGTCATGTGGGTGAGCGTGGGCACCCTGCTTGTGGCCATTCTGGGCATTGCAGGAAGCACCATGACTTAGGGGCTCTGCCCAGAGGTAAGACCCACCCCACCCACACTGGTATCCTCCCCACCCTTGTGCCCCTCCTGCCCTGAGGTCCCAGGCATCTCCAAGGCTGCTCCTACAGCTGGGCTGGCCCTCTCTCCAGGTGCACCAGCCATGATGCAGCGGCCACAAGTGGAGACGGATACCATCGGGGCCGGCGAGGGGCCGCAGCCAGCAGTGCCCTGGTGGGCCTGGGTCACGTGGCAGAGCAGGTTGTGCTGGTGTCTGTGCCATGTGCCCCAGCGCTGGACCCAGTGGTGGACCACATCAGGCTGGCAGCAACCTCTGCTGCGTGTGCTATGGGGGCTGGAGAGTATCCTCTACCTGCTGTTCATGATGATGCTGTGCCATGCGCTCTTTACCATTGGCTCCCACCTGCTGAGCTCCCTGTGGTCCATCGCAGCTGCAGCGTGGCACCATCTGCTGCCAGCCATCCTGCTGCTGGTGCTCAGTGCCCTCCCTGCCCTGTTCTTCATGGCTTCCTTCCTGCTGCTGTTCTCCATACTGCTGAGCCTCATGGGCCTCCTCACCTCCATGTCTCACCCAGACAATGCTCAGGATTTGGACCAATAGAAGGGCAACTCCATCCCACTGCCTGTGTCTGTTGAGCCCTGGCCTAGGGCCTGAGGTCCTATGGAGAGGGAGGGCAGTGGGACCTGGGCCTTCCTGCCTCAGCAGGCCCCTCGCACTGGTCGGGGTACGCTTGATGTTGCTAGAGTTGGCAGGGTAGACCAGCCAGACCTTTGAGCACCTTACTCAAGCCAATGCTTCAGGTACTTGGTGTAGAGGATCAGGGGCTTCAAGAAGGGACAAAAGGGACAAGGGTAAAAGGCTTAGTTAGGAGCAGAGATTGGCCAAGTCACCACAAGCTCAAAGGGGGTAGTGTGGTGACACCACTGGGGTCTCCACAGCAACTGGCAGCATCTTTATCTTGTAGCTGCTCAGCTGTCTTGGCTGCAGACTCATTGAGACCTACCCAGGTACCCATGGGCTTGCCATTCCTCCCACCAACCTCTTTTCAGTTCCCCAGGCCCTAGAAAGAGCCCAGTGACAGAAACCTAGTCGAGAAAGGACTGGCCAGAAGCTCCAAAAGACCACAACTAGCTTACCTCCCAGACTTTCCTGTCTATGCGTCCCCTCTCTCTAGACTTCCTACTTCCTGCCTCAGTCCACAGCCCCAGGTCCAGAAAATTGGCCAACCAGAGTAGGGAGGGCCCCAGAGAGCACCTACTCTTTTAAGACTACTAAGGTCTGTTATGGAAAAACAAGAAGTCATATTTCCCCACCTATGCAATGTATGGCCCTGGCTAATTAATTCTTTTGAGCCTCAGTGTAAGGTGAATTTCAACCCTTTTATGGGGTTGTTGTGAGCCCAAGGCAACACCTATATGTGAAGTATTTTGTCAAGCTCAGAAAACTGTAAGATTCTGTATTGAACTCTAGGAACATTCTGTAGGCTCAGAAGGTCTTGACCCCAAAAGCTGTTGAAAAAGCAGGAAGCATTCCTGGGCATTCAGAGAAATGCTGTCATAGATACAGCATGGCCCTGTGATAGTAAACAAAGGATGGATGGATATGGACAAGATGTAAAAAGTCATGTGCTTTGAAATCTCAAAATGTGCAGATGTTGAACTCTTCTAATTGTGAAATGCTTGGAGCTAGGGGTTAGTGCCAGGATATGTTCGCACAGCTGTGTGAGTGGGGAAAGCAGAGCCCATAGGTTTCTAAAGCCAACCCAGAAAGCTACTAAAAGCACCAGGAGGGCCTTGGAGGGTGGTACCCTTTGATGCCTACGATGCTGGCCCTTCACACATAAGCTAACCCTCCACACACAACAGTGAGTGGTCAGTTATTACTAAGTAAGGCACATGAAAGACAGACTCACCCACATGCCCTCCATCCCACTGCTGACCACCACCTAATCCCTGACCCACCCCAACTCCCCAGTCCTGACTCCACTGCATCTCCAACCCTAAAATCTCTGCTTCTGAAGCCCGGGACCCAAAGTCCCCCTCTCCTGCTACCTAACCACTCAGGCCCTAGGGACCAGCCCTTAGAACCCAGTTTTATTTTTCTAAAACCCGTTTGCTCTGGTTTGTAGCCCTGGTTACATGCCACTGGTAGATGCCTTCAGCATCAGTCAGTGCCTGAAATCTCAGACTCTGTCCTTCCCTCCCATTTCCTTGTGGTTCTCCCTGAAAAATGGCCTGCTATCAAGGCAGGGCAAGGCACAACATAGAGATGGTATAGCCTCATGGTTAGGATAGGCTCTGGTATATTAGCTGAGGCTGGGTTTGCATTCTAGCTCTGTCATTTTCTAGCTTCACGGCCTTGGTAGAAATTGCTAAACCTGCCTGAACTTCATTTTCTTCATGGGTAAAACAAAGGCAAGAACATCTGTCTTAGGCCCCCTGTGGTGCTCTTGGCATGTGGGCTAAATTGTTGGACTAAGTTGTCTTACCACGAAGTGTAGTATGCTGATATTGTCCCATTCTACAGAGAAGTCAGATTCAGGATAGTCACTTGCCAGTGGTGAGGCCAGGTTGTTTAAGTCCTCATCCACCCTAACAGGCTACTAAAAGGAAAGAAATGGATGAAATACAACCTAACTGAAGACCCCGTATCTTCTCAATGACTGTTTCAAAGAGCTCCCAGCAGAGATAAAGCCAGGATGCCAGTCTTGGTTCCATCGTTGACTTGATCATGAATCTCTGGCCAGGAGCATCACTCCAGAGCCTCGGGGCCAGTCTGAGTAAAAGAAGAGGTTTTGGCTCAAACCAGACACACTGAGTTGGGGAAAAGGGGGTCAGGATGAGGTCAGGAGCAAGGAGAAGGCCTTCCCCCTTCCCCACATATATATGCCTTCCACCCTCTGCTGGTGTGGGATAAGGTGGTTCAGCTTTACTTACTGCAATATTTATCAAATGACATCAACATATACATCCTCATCAGAGCAAGCTGCGGGGTGGGATGGGGAAGGGCGGGCAAAGATATGGACCCAGCTGGCCGGGTCACTCAGGCCAGTGGGACAGCTTTCCCTTCTTGGCCCAAATGGGAAAGGCTTAGAACCCCTTGGTTCAAGCATGTCCCTGCTCTGCATGTTCATCATGCAGGCCCAGCTGCATGGCTGGCAACCCAAAATGAATTTCCACAGATGCCCATGAGGGTCTTGCTCCCCAAAGTGTGGCCCCAGGACCAGCAGTGTGGGCACCACCTGGAAACTGGCTAGAAATGCACAGTCTCAGGCTCCACCCCAGGCCTGCTGACTCAGAGCCTGCATTTTAACAAGAGGCCAGGTGATCCACAGGCACACTAATATTTGGGAACTGCTGAATGAGAGGCGGCATGTAGGAAACAGGTGATTACACTGTTACTAGTGGAGGAAGGAGAATGGAAAGCTAGAACATGGTGGACAAGCAGGGTGGAGAGGAGGCAGCAGTTAGAAGGGGCAGAGATGGTATCTATTGATAGCAGAATACTTTAGTGAAAAGAAACTGAGAGTAGTTTTTTTAAACAAATTTAAAATGCATGCCAGCAAAGCAAGACTTTCTTGTTTTTGGCAAGAATACATAAAAATGAATGATAAATAGAATGGAATGGCCAGTGCTAGGGGCAGGCAAATGGGAATGGAGTGTACAGATAAAAGGGAATAAAGTGAGGGACCTTGCAGAGAGGAAAGAAACATTGTATCCCGAATGTCATTCCTGAAATTCCTTTACATATAGAGAAAGTCTCCCACTTAGAGATAAAAGGCTTAAAAATGCAAGCATGGGGAAAAGGGACATGCTTGAACCAAGGGGTTCTAAGCCTTTCCCATTTGGGCCAAGAAGGGAAAGCTGTCCCACTGGCCTGAGTGACCCGGCCAGCTGGGTCCATATCTTTGCCCGCCCTTCCCCATCCCACCCCGCAGCCTGCTCTGATGAGGATGGGTGGGAGTAGGGAATCCAGTAACCCGTGTGGCCTGGCCAGAAAAATAATCATATCGGACCAAGCACAGACCTGAGCGGAGGAGGCGTCTGCCCGAAGGTCTTTGCATCTCACAAAGCGCAGAGGGGATCCACAGCAGCATGCACACCAGGGGGCGCCTAGGAGCAGGAGCTCCCAGTAGGACTTCCCTTTCCGCCGCAAGGAACAAGCAGCAGTGAGTAGGAGCGCCTGGAATGAGAGAGGGTCCAAGAGGGCGGTATCAAGGGGGCTCATGAGGCTGGGAAGCACCCCATGAGACTGTGTTGTCCGTGGCCGCCCTGGGGAAAGGAGAGGGGTCCCCGGAAGGAGGCTGCGCGGCTCCCGGGAACCTCTAAGGCGCAGCTGCGGGAAGCCAGGAGGGGGCGCTCTGCCTCAGACACGCGTGTGCAAAGGAAAGGGTTATGAAGGGAGCGGCCCCTCACCGAGTCGGTGGCCA